GGAGGCTGCAGATTGTCAGAGCAGTGACTGCAGAGGGACCTGAGTGCCCCAAATGCCGTCGCTTTTAGCACGGCAGGGTGAGGAAAGGTCGGCTGTGCGGCAGCGCGGAGCCCTCCCTGCTCTCTTCATCTGGGAGGTGTCCTGGCAGGGGTGCCAGCCCCTTGCTTGCATGGCAGTGGGGCAGGGCTGGCAGAGACAATGCGGAGCTCCCTGGAAGGTTTCCAACCAAACTGTCCTGCTGCTGCCCTGGAAGAGTGACATTTAATAGATATTTCACAGGACTGACAGATGTGCCATTAATTTTCACTGGAAGGAGGTTCCTTATATGTGGGAGAAGGTGTGTGCTCCTCAGGACAGAGCTTTAGCTGTGCCAGGTGAGACAATAACTGGTTTGTGAAGGGTTAAGGGGTTAGGACATGAGGCTGGGATGCCAGAAACCACTTCAAGCCTCCACTCTGCTAAATCGTTATCTTCTGTCCCCAGCAAGTTATTTGCCTACTGAACAACAGGCAAATCTTGGGTCAAGCCCAGTTTTCACTCCCTGCCCTCCTCTGAAAAGCTTTCCCACTGTTTGGGATGAGACAACTTCTTCAAAACCTTAAACAAAGTTTTCCTGGGCTGGGATGAGAACCACCCGCCCAGTCGAGCCTCGTCGGCGCTGGGAGCTGCTCCCGAGCAGAGGGTTCCTCAGCCTCCAGCTCAGCACATTTGCACCGGAAAGCAGCATTTCCAGGTCAAGAGCAAACACGGGAAAGAGGCAGGTTTTCTAGACAGCCCAGGCAGATAGGACAGTCCCCAGGGTCCCTGGTTGGAAGAGACACTACCCCAGCAGCAGTCAGTAAGGGCACCAGCCCACTCCTTCCCCTCTCCTGCATCCAGCACCCACGATGTGCAGGGCAGGGCTGCGCCCCTCCGGCACAGCCAGCCTGGCTTCCACAGGGACCTGGTGCCTGCAGCGAGACCCATTTCCCTCACCTCAGGTCAGCAGTGCACATGGAAGACTATTGGAAGATACAGGGCAAAAATAACTCCAGTGCCTGCTGCTTTGCTTGGTGTCACCATCCCCGAGGCCACCCTCCCAGCCCACTTTGCCCCGCCCGGCGGGCTCAGCCCCCGTCCCCCCACGCTGGTGGCTCTAAACAGGCGGTGGCCCTGGGCAGCTGAGTTTCCAGAAGGAATGGCTGCAATGCGGGGGAGAGCTCGGCACTTGCCTGGCCTGCTAACAGCTGGCCCCGATCTGTGTTTCTCACCCCGCTCTGCAGCCCTTTCCACCAGGCCCAGGCTACGTGCACAGGGTGGGTGGGTTTCCTGCTGCCAGTTTGCAGGCGGCAGGTCAGGAATGATCCGGGCTCCCTCCCACCAACCCTGTGGCCTCCCCATTCCTGTGGGCAAGCTGGAGCCAAGTTTATCCCTGACACATCTCCGCCGGCTTTGCTGGATTTAGACCCCGGATAACTTTGGTGCAGGACCTAAATTCTGGTGACACAAAAGGTCAGGGAAGAGTCACTAATGAGGAGAAGTCATGTGTGAGCACACCCCTGCTAGAGCAAAGGCTCCTGGCAGTGATTACCTCCCAAATCACACACACATACACTTCTCCGTAGCACAACCTGAAACAACTCTTCCCACAGCACCAGTTCCCAAGTGAGGTGCTGGTGTAGAACTGAGTCCCACAGCAGGTGCTGCCCAGCCTGCTGGGAAAGGCAGCAGGCTGGGCTGGAGGAAGGACAGTAAGGAAGAAGCTGGTGGATGATAAAGCAAGAACAAGTCAGGAGCTGAGTGGAGCTCCAGGTGAAGAAAGCGGCTGCCAGGGAGCAGGGAGAGGCTGGGAATGGGGTACAGAGCTCCCAAACACCAATGGACTCAGCACCCCTTGCACTAGGGAAGGGAGCCTGGCGAGATGCCCACACCTTCCCTCTGCAAGCCACAGGCCCCAGAGGGATCCACTGGCTCTGGGTGATGAGCAGGAGGGTCTGGAGGAGGTTTACATTAACAAAGAGCCATCCAGGTGCCAGCTGCAATTCATCACAAGGAAAGCAGGCAGGCAGGCACTGCCACCACTACCATAGAAGGCACCAGCAAGGGGGATAAAACAGCAGAGTGGCTCTTCCCCACCAGGGCCAACCCCTGGAGTGGCCACACCATGCCCAGGCCCATCTCCACAATGCTCCAGGATGTTCCACAACATGCCAGGCACCCTCTGCCCTTCCCTGCAGTGAGGTCCTGGGTTTGATTTTTGTGGGGGTTGGCATGCGAACAGGGTAGCGTCCCACCAGTTCATACAGCAAGAGAATGGGTAAGCCAGGACTCTCCAGTCTCCCCTCTCACCATCGGTGAGGTCCTCTGGGACCTTGGAGAACAGCTCTGGCACCACATGTCATTTGATAACACTCCCCCTCCTGCAACAGCCCCCTCCTTCAGAGCAGCAGAGCCCCCCTGTCCTGCTGGTGGGCAGGGTGAGCTGCAGCCATGGGGGAAGGCTGTCCCTGTCCCCTCCTGGGCTGCTGGGCACTGACACCGTGTGCTGAGGCTCAACAGTCAAACTCTTCACACTGTGTTTCCACTGCGGAAACACCACCCCATCCTTTTACAAAGGGAATGGTAACTCTTGACCCCGCGGGTCATTCTGGTGCTGACCCAGAGCTGCGGGTGCAGCGCTGCTTGAACCACCCTGGGACTTCAGTGTGGTCCCCATCTGCAGGGCTGGAACAATGTCCCTGGCCCCCTTGTTATAATTTCTGGCTGCTGCTACTGCAACACCTCTGATGTATGACCAAGCCCAGGGCCAGGACCCCCATGCTACCCCACGTCAGCACCTGCTCCTCCTCTGCTGCCCTAAGCCACCATTCTGCGACAAGAAGCAGCAATCCCCCTGAAAACCTCTTTCTGGTCTCATCCACTGACCTGCCAGCTCCAGCACAAAGCCAGGACGTTCTTTGCAAAGCTGGCCCAAAGCCCCGACAGGTTTATTTGTATCCCAGATCAAAGCCTAACAGCTACGTGAGCCCAACGCCTCAGGCTGCAGGAGGGAGTCACACATGTAGGAACACAACAGCTTCCCAGCAGGGTGGGAATCAGGCCCTCCACGGCTTTACAAGACCACTGGTATCTTCCCCAGCTGGGAAAACCCTCTGGATCCCATCAGCTCCACCTGGAAACACCAGTCGCCTCCCTTTCTGCGACCATGACGAGCACTTACACCCCACAGCCTCGCTTACAAACCACCGGCTTTTCACCCATCTGACCGCTGAAGGGAAACTGGCATCAGCTTGTGCCCAGCTGGCACTGCCTGTGTCCCCGTGTCCCTGCCGCAGTGTGAGGCGAAGGCACCTGGGCACAGGGTCTCACATCGCTATGCTGAGCTCTCGGGCAGGTTCCACCCGCTCAGCTGGGAAGGGATGCACGACCCTCAGCCCCCCGGGATCCCCTGCACGGCGGGGCCAGGGTATGCCGGTCCCGTCCCGTCCCGTCCCGTCCCGGCCCCCCTTACC